TAACCACCCTGGTTATAAATAATATGCAGAGGCCTATTTGAGAAAAAGAACTCGATTTTACGCGGGGACGGTCTTTAACGAGGGGTTCGCCCTAGATGGAAAGTGGGGGACGTGGGATATGTTAATGCTCGTGGTACGCATGGTTATTACCCTGGGAGAGGAGGATTAACATTTTAATAGACATTTATTAAATGGACAGGTAATGGCACTAAGGCCGGGTAACGTCCCTTGTCTCTTGGAAGCTTCGTGTCAAGACAGTTCTTGTTACTAATATTACCTGGGTAATTGAATATGGAGGGGTATCGTTTTGACATTTTTCGGAATTGGTAATGAATCTTGGCGCATACTTTACTACACTGGGTCTTTATAAAAATGGTGGACGCGGTTTGGACTCTTTGGCAGTTTCTTCGGTTAATTGTTACAGGCAAACGGTGCGCCGGAGAAAAAAAAAGAAAAAAATAGTACAGGACTTCTAGGCTCTATCTTCGACGAGGATAGCGTTGCGTACATCATGTCCACTATTTTGTAAACGCCCTGAATGCAAATCGGCTCGCGCGACCGATTCGCCGTTGTAGGGTGAACCATTGGACGGCTATCCTATAAATCTTGGCAAAGATACGAACGTATTGAAATATATCGACGAATAAGGGGACGAAAGAGACAGGGCCGGCGTCATTTAGGCACAATGAAAAAACACGGCACCCCTTTCCCCGCATTTGCATGCACGAATAAACGCTGTGACGGGTGACGCGTTCCACTCGGCGTGCACGCGCATTAATTCTCGATATTGCATCGTAAATATCCCCTTGATCGGGACATACACCGCCGTGGGCCCCGGGAAATTGAAAATTCTCTTTCGCAGGGGGGGTCTTTCGCGTCTGCTAAGCCCTGCGGAGCATCCGTCATGCACACGCTACTCGTCCGTCTACGTCGGACAGTATCGCCGAGTTTCGTTCGGTTTCACCGGGTTTCGCCGGGTTTCAACGGGTTTCACGACGTTTCACGAGGTTCAGGGGGTTCTATGAGGTCCTAGGGGGTTTTACGGGGTTCTATGGGATTTCAGGAGAGGAACGAGCCTTCTGGGGCTTCGACGGGTGGAGGGGAGGGGACGTTTTTTGGCGATGCATCACGCCCTCGTCTCTGCTCTCCGCATCCGATAGGGTCGTTGTCGCACTTTGGTTCCTTCCCGATTTAAACGCGCAGCATCCATATGGCGACTTTGATCTTACTCTGGCCGGAAAGACGAGAACGGACGAGGTGCTCTATCGATCGTAAACATGTACTCGCCCCGTGTTTGACGTTTATTTCCCGAACATGTGTCCGAGGACCCGATTGCCCGAGGGACCTGGTTAACCATTGAGCATATGCGCGTCGGAGAATGACTGCTCTTCGTGTTAACATGTTGAATGAAAAGACATTTTGGAACGATTGAGGAGTTCTCAATGAGACTGGTAGAACTTGAGTTGCACGATGTCTGGATTCGTTTACATTTGATCGTCGACCCGTTTCCACATTTGCATTTAATTCCATTTAATTGTAATGATGGATATTTTTTCTTAGTCCCGAATGATTATCGAATTGGGGTTAATGGATGCGATTAATGATGTGGCCTGACATAAAGTGGGTGGTATTTTATTTTGTATGAAATCATTTTACCTCACCCCTAATATAGCGCGTGATCTATGAGCGTGGGCACTACATTAACGTCATCCTTTTAACAAATGACCCCTAAGCATCACCTGACATCCGCATATGGTACTATGGTACCTCGTGTGGAGACATAATACGAGAACCAGTCGATCGCGGCGTAACAGCTGACCGTCAAGATCTAAGTCTGATAATTGCAACTTTTATTCGTCGTTATTTTTCGCCACTTTAAGCCGTTCTACGTCAACATTACCATACGTTGCCTTGGCTTAAAAAAAAAAAAAGAAGAAAAAAAATACGTTACCGAGAATTAACTTGAAAAAAAGAAAACATCCACTAATCAGATTTTTTTTAATTTTCGCCAATGTTGCCTAATGAATCAGACAGATTCTTTAGCTTTGTAAAGGATCCGTTCTTTGTCGCTCCGAGATCTCAGGTAGGACGGTTTTAATTATTCGAGTACGGAAACACGTGACGGCTAGGATTAAACGGGAGCACTTTAATAATCTTGAAAAAAACATGGACTACATGTATACCATGTTTCGAGCATATATTTTCAACGGGGTAGGACGGATTCCTTTATTCGAGCACTGAAACACATGCCGGCTAGGGATTAAACGAGAGCACTTTAATAATCCAGTCAGAACGCATAACGAGCTCGGATCTGCACGTCTAGCCGTCATCAACGTCGTTCGGCCAACGAATGCGCAGTAAAACGTCCACCTGTCGTCCTTAGGCGGTGTTTCAAATGAACCACGACACGCGAGGAGCGACCAGCCGGTGCGCGTCAGCTGACTTTCATGGCGCGCCGAATGGAGCTCGCGGGGTGCGCATCCCCATATAGATACTTTTAACGAGCGTCAGCACACGTCGGACACCCCGCGAGGCATTCGATTCAAATCAAACCGGCTACGAGGTGTGTCCGTATAAGCTGCACCGACTACTCCGAACGGCGTGGGCGTTAGAAAACGGCCATTCGACATACCGAGATATACCCGGTCATCGTAAATACTTCGTCCTGGTCCCTGTCTCTCTCCCTCTCTCTCCCCTTCCTTTAGCCTCCTCTCGCCTTCCCGCGTAGGTGCCGTGAGTTTTGGAATTTTTATCCCGGGTCTTGTTTTTTTTTTTTCATTCACTCTATTTTATTTATTCCTTTCGCGTAACCGGTCGTCGTCCATCGAGGTCGTTGACGATGAGCGGACGGCGACGGTTAAACGGAGATAAGCGGCACTGCTTGTAGACTTCAATTAGAGGGAATTAATTGAAAAGGAAAAAAAAAACATTACTGAGGTTGCTAAGTAGTATCTATTATGTTCCCACCCTGTAGTTACTTTCGCTTTGATTAGGGCTGGGCGGTGTTTCTTGCTTAGTACGAATAACTCACTAGAAACTGTTTCTAGAATCACTTTCGGGGTAAAGCGCGCGATGAAATGAATACTTGATGATTAATATATTTTTTGTATATTTCTTTTCTGCTGCTCATGCGCAGGACAAGATGAAAATATCTCGTGATTTTCAAAATCCATTAAGCTGACATCTTAAATCACGATACAGTTTTTATCAATCTAGGTTTTACCTTGAAATCCCGCGAGTTTTTAATGTTTCTGCGGTTTGAAATAATAATTAAGCTATTCCGGATAGGAAATTATTGCTCGACTCTGAGGATATCCACTTTTATATCCAGTTTAGCCTCGCCAGGCTTGCGGGAGAGGCGAAGATGATAAGCAAAGGGCAGTAAATGCGCGCATAACGGGGAATTACGCGAGAATGGAGTTTTACGGTTGGCGTGAAATTGTAAGAGAGCGAGATGACGCTTTTTCTCCTGGCCCTCTCGACGAAGACGATAACGAACCGAGATTCGCAGCTTCCACAGTGAGGTCGGACCTCTCGCTCTCTCCCTTCCTCTCTTGCGGCGTCCTCGAGACGATTTAAAAAGGAAGAATTTCAAGGTGCAAAGAACGGGACGTGGTGACGTCAGGAGGGTGAAGGTGAAGAGGAGTGCTTAAACGACGACGGTCAATTCTCCGAGTCAATGTGAAACGCGAAATGTGGTGGAGGAAGAATAAAGTCAGATACGACGTTGGTTGGACCTTTAAAAGTGTAGAGAAAGAAATTTAAGAGGGTCGCGAATTTCTTGGAAACCGCTCGAAAAACTCCGAGATTGTTCCTTGGAGTTTAATTATCGGGAGTTCAATTGTTGCTGCAGTTCATTATCACGGCATTAATTAAACGGAAAAGTGCCGCTGGATGTTTTAAGGCGAGCGATGAAAGCTTTGGTAAATTATTCTGCGGCGAGTACGTGTAAAATTTATCATTTTGGAAGCCACAGGGATATGCCAATTGAAAATAGCATTAAATTAAAAGCGATGAGCAGGTGGGAAAAATCCTCTTACTAAGCGCGGTAAGCCCGGTGTTATATTTAGAAACCGCTTACGTGTTTATTAATCTAATTTTCATATCCACGTGCGAAGCCTCAGGAACGCAATGCCACGTGTGACGATATATGTCACCTGCAACTGCATAAGCGGTATTCTTCTTTCTTTTCTTTTTTTTTTTTTCAGTTGACGCTGCACAACTCTCTTTCACTGGGTATTCTTTTTTCCGAGCATAATTATATTTCATTTAATCTACGCAATTCTTTTGCCTTCAATTTTTTGAAAGATAGAAAATGTAATTACAAGAATTCCACCTGACTTCCCTCATCCGGTTAAATCGGAGAGGAATCTATTTTCGATTAATATACTAAGCGAGCTAACAAGGAAAGAAATTCCTAAAGTAACACCCGATATGGCCATTCGTCCGATACAAACGCATTAACGTCGCCATTACCATTTTTCCTCTCATCGTGGATGCGAATCTCGATTTCTTATTTTTTTCCTCCTCGTAGCTGGAGAAACAGGTTTATCAGTGGGGCAACATTTTGCACACGCGTGTGCATTAAATGTTGTCCCCAAATAAAGCAGCATAATTTAATAGCCTCTTTACTTGCTTCCTTTTGTTCATTCATAGTACATGTAGCTTTCATCCTCGGCATTAACTTCCGATTTTTGCTACGGCAGACGCGAACGTACCGTGAAATTAACTCTAATGAATTCTAGCACGCAATGATTTTTCCGGTGCGCAAGTAGTGTGTACCGTCCTGTAAAGTCTTAAGTGACAGGAGTCTTAGGCAAGACGAGTCTTAATACCGAACCGTGAAAGAACATCTTGTCGCGCGACAAACGCTCTTTGTTCGTCGACAAAAGCGTTTTTTAGGATTTCTTCTATCACCTCTGACAAGGCCTTCCTCGATGAACATCGTTTCTGTATCATCTAATCATTTTCTTACGTGCCCACTCTATTTCCTTTTGCAGATTACCATCACCATACAATAAGCAGGCGGGGGCGGTCGGCGTGGGGGTTGGTCCAGGGGGGACCAGCATCCCTTTGCCGGCCACTGTCGCTGCCACCAGGAGATGTCCCCCTGATAAAGTCAGACCAGCTCCTCAACCTGGTCACCAGACACAATTAGGTAAGTGATAAAGGATATGTAAAGTTATTAAATTTGATCGGTGAATTTCTCGACAAAATTGATCGCCAGCGTGTGTTCGGTCGAAATTTATTTGGGAACAGAAAGCAAAATTGTAAATTTCAAAAGAGTAGCAGGTTTCGTTTATACCTTTATTTTGTCATTTCTTTATCAAGAGTTTAGGTGTTTGGTTTCTTATTTGGTCCATGTGACGGAGTTTCGTGGAGAAATGGCGACGCGTGAGAAGGGTGCAGTTAAGGGCCTCAAACGAAAAAGGGGTGTGAATCGAGCCAGGCTAAAGCCAAATGTATTTCCCACAAACCCGGGAGACATAAGAAGTAGTGGCGACGATGGGGAGGAAAAGGCGAAAAGCGAAAGGGGGTTGATGACGGGGCTCACAGACGGGATCTTCCCTTTATTTCCGCCAGCCGTGGAGATGCTTTTAATGGAAACTCATTAGCGAATGGAGACGCATTGGTGCCGAAATATATTTAGGACTCTGGTCGGGACGATTTTTCCGTAGCGAGGACTAAGGTTGAATTTCATGGCGACCCTGTAGAAGCCCCCATTAGACGGCGACCCCAACCCCCGATATGGCTTTTAGGGACACCCGGGATTCGCCTTTACAGTGGAACTCCCTTAACACACCCAGTATCCGATACTTTGTGCACGCATCGTGTAATATTATCCACATCGGGATCGATCTACCCTCTGGACGTCTTTTTTATCCCCGTCGGACCGAGAGGTTATAATGTTACTTAACTTGAAACTGGCCATCGGGGTGGTTTTCGTTTCACATCCACCAGAGGTAGACTGGTTTAATTTAAACTAATGTCGGATGGGGATGCATCGACATGGAAATGTATCTACCTACATCCCTTGACGGTGATTTTTCCGCGGGGGAAGTCAAAGTTAAATTTTATAGCCACCCCGACCCTCGAATGGCTTTTATGAACAGATACCCAGGATTTGCTTTTACAGGAGAACTCTCTTGATATACCCGGTATCCGATATTTTATATACATATCATGCAATATAAATATATATATCGTGATCGCCCTACCCTCTGGACGTTAGTATTATTTAAGTAGGAGCTGGACGATAGGGTGGTATTCATTACACATTCTCCAAAATTGGACCATTAAATGGAAACTCATTTGGCGGATGGGGATGCATCGATGCGGAAATATTTCCACATCCCTTGGCAGCGATTTTTCCGCGGCGAAAATCAAGGCTGAATTTTATGGCAACCCCATGGGTTCCCCCATTAGTCGGTAACCCCAACTTCCAGCTCTGCTTTTACGAAGGGATACTTTGAATTCGTCGTTACATTGACATCCTCTTAACGGTCGCGTACGCGTGTTACGTGATACGGTATTAGCCTTATCAAGATCGAACCGATAGTTCATTTTTTTCTTTTCTATTTCCACCGGATTGGCTTTTTTCAATAGAGTTTATTACGAAACGGGAATGCGCTGGGATCGACATACACGTATATCCAGGATGTTCGACGGCGATTCTTCTGGTGCACGGAATCAAGATTGGATTTCTTAGCGTCCTCGTCAACCCCCCGGGAAGCCCCCGTTAATCTGGAACCCTCGACCCCTGATATGGCTTTTACGGAGGGACACCCTGGACTCGCCTTTACTTGACAATCTCCCTTGATGCATACACGTCCCACGTGTCCGTTGCACTTATCTCCGCATAGTATACATAATATACATTCTATATAATCCACGCAGCATAATCCGATATGTTATATAAAACCCGGGAGAAATTCAATCCAGACAAGGTAAATACAATTATTTCAAAATGATTATCATTTCTCATGCTTATCAAGTAAATTCTTTTAAATTGATGTTTCCTCATCAAAAGGGGATTGTCACGAAGATGTACATTTTCTCGGGTAGGGCTTTTCCACCGTAAAAAATCATGGACGCGTGTCTTCGCTCGTCAAGGACCTATCAGGGGGTGTATCGGAAACCCCCGAAAGTCCTCCACCCTGACTCGACTCGATGTTTAGCACAACCCTTTATCTCCGTGCACTTCGAGGTGCTTCCAGAAACAGCCTGGATTCGTATTTACAACGGAAACCTCTCTCAACGCACGCGTGCACCCTCTCGAACGCGTGCCCTACACGGCGCGCATGCGCGAGCCGTAATATTACCTACATCGACGCGGGGCGTGGGGCACAGGGGCAAGGGGCTGCTTCGGGGGTGGCACCCCATAGTTTATACTGTACTTTCTCTCTCCCTCGGAGACCCGTCTTCTCCCGGGGTGCTCACGGTCCTGGCCAGATGTGCACCCTGATTCCCAGTGGTTCCCAAGCCACCCCTGGAATTATTCATCCCGCGATTAATCCTTTTACAACGAGGGCCTCATAGAAGCTCTATCTGATAACGCCTTATTCCTTAACATAATCTCGGCCTGCAGAACAGTACGCCCTCTCTATCAAACTCTGCTCTAATAATTTAATTCCGAGTTTAATACAATATTTCCGTGGGGGTAAAAATAAAAGACTAAAGAATTAATAAAAAAAAAAGGGTATAATTGCAACTCGTGTTGGATATTGTTAGAGGGGAGTGGTAATAGGGTGTAGTTGCATCTTGTGAAAATAGGGGATTATCGCGCACCGTATTGTACTATCGACGAAATATATGTTTTCTTATCTGGTTAGCTCAAAGGGATAGAAAATAATTCCGGGACCATTTCTTTATCAAGTCGCAGGAGAATACGAGTGTTCTTCCGTTGAGCTTTTTCTTCAATTATTTTTATGCATTTATAGTTTCGTGGGGATTCTGGGAGAGTAAACCATTTTACTATCGATGTATTGTTCACCTTGCTTCGTTTGCATCGACGGAGCACCGCTGGACGGGTTTAGGGGATGCTGCGCTCGTGTTAGCCAGCATCCCCGTAAAAGCACACGGCACGCGTGTTCGTAAGCTTCGGGACGAGCGGTGACGCTCGTTTTCGAAATAGACTTCCGTACCTTAGGAGGCCCTGCACGTGTGCCGTCATGATTTACGATATTGTTCCTGGGCGCTGAATTTTTTTCTGCTCTCGTCCACACCCCATTTGCCGAAGTTCGCGCTCGCTTTCCTAGGCGCTCGTCGAGCCCTAGGTCAGGGCACGCTTCCTCAAAGTAGCTTCGGAAACTCCAACCGACTCTATAAGGAACCCCTCTTGCGAACTCCGTGACGTGATAAAATCGAAATAGTTTTCTGAGATTCTGAGGACGGTGAATTTTAAACGAACAATCCGTATACGTGTACGTCATTGTGGCATATTTTAAGAGAAAATCCGATTTTACTTCCCGCATGATTCTATTTAATAAATATAATTCAAAGAATATAATTAATTTTTTTATTTTTGTCAGTATAGATATACAGAATTGTCCTTTTAACGTGTTCCCCACATCATGATGGTTAAGGTTGCATGGTTTTGACTTTTGATTTACTAGGTATCAATTTTTCGCGATCACTGGAAGTGGCCTGAATCTTGAATTCAGTTAATTATTGCAAACGACTTTTGAATAAAAGAACCCGCGGATTTGCGTAATGGACCACGGCGCCAAGAGTTGGCTGGAGACTCGATATTAATCCCAACTTTCTCGATAATCGCTTCATCTCGCGGAAGATTTTTCTTTCGCGGAGTTTGCTCCTTTTGCTCGCGGCTTCAAGGATAACCCATTGTTCGGGGGAGTCCTTTAACGTTCCGAAATTCTCGACGGTCTTAAAATGGACTCCGGCACTCGAGATGGAACGCTCTCGGGAGAGGGAGAGAGAGAGAGAGAGAGAGAGATCCGGCATTGTTGAGGGATTCTTTAATCGGCGCGATTCATCGTCCCGACCACTCGAGCGGGTTCTTTTCGCCCTTTCTCGGTCCCTTTGTTTTTTCTTAAAGGCGTTCCCTGCGGAGGAAAATCGCCCAAGGGGAGAAAGAACGGAGTGCCAACGTAATTGCGATAATTGTCGCGGCGATTGCGCGTAAACGTGACGATTCCGCATTAAACGCGAAGAAGCCATCGGAGGAAATGCGATGAAATGGGGACGAAACGAGGTCAACGGTGAACTACAATAAAATCACAACTGCTACGGCGATAAATTACATTATCCAAGAAGTAGCAGCTGGGCGCGAACGTACGATGCCTTAATCGAGGGAATTACTGACGGCGCTTTAGAAAGGGCCGAAAAAAAAAAATGGTCAGTTCAAAATGCACCCTCACGATTCCTGGGTTCGGGGATGGCTTAATTCCTGCTCCCAGGATTCGATTAATTTCACCGGACCGCGTCTCCGGTCCGACAGGAATTCCTATCGCAAGAAATCTCTCCCTCGGATGCCGGAGGGATGATGCTCTCCTGGATTCGCAGCTGCGTCACCCCTCTTTCTCGTCGTGTACTCCTGGGGCGTCGAAAAACTCCGCAGACTCGTGACTCGACGACTCCGCGTGAAAAGCCGAGATATCGGGATCGCTTTCTTGGACGGAAATCTCATATCCGTCATCCGGATGACCGATGGCCCACCCCTTCGCGCCCTCGGCGGAAATCCGAGAAGATTGTTTGCCCCACTCGAGAGGAAGAGTTTCCGCCGCTGCTCATCCTTTTCTCTTTCCTCTTTGCGTTCCTCTTCTTAGACTCGGGCGATGAGCTGAGAAGCTCCTCTACGTGAATGAAAATTTTGCCATTAGGCGAAATAAGGGTTGAGGGATGAAGGGTTCGCACTGCGAGAATATCGAGGTATCGGCTTTAGGGCGGAGTGTATTTTTAATAATTGCAAAACATGTTGATCGTAAAGTCGATTTTTCATTTTCCTCCTGGACTCCAGGGGGAGGAGGGAAATGCCCTGGGAAGGGAAGGGAAGGGATTGCGGTATCGGAAAAGACGGTGGTGATTTCCCCTACGGACACGTTTACTGCGCTGAGTGAAAAGGTCGGAGCCGCATTGTTGTAAATTTCATATTTTAATGATATTTACGACCGGGGAGGTGGGAAGGGTCAAGGGAGG